CAACTGATCGAGGGAATGATGCAGCATGGGACAACATAACAATCTATTGTGCATCTGGTCACTATGAGTCTGGGACTGACTTCATAGCAGGTAACAACAATTACCATCCAAAACGTTAGAAACTATGTCAGGACTTTTATCTAAGAGCAATGAGAAATCAGCAAAGAATTTTAAGCCTGGGCTTCAAACTGGTTCATTCCAGTTTGTTCATTTCCACCCCAGATATACTGAATCTGAATCTCATTTTAACAAGATCCCGAAGTGATTCTTCTAGAACCGCGGTAATCTTGTAGGTTCTGCTTCAGTATATCTGGGCTAGAAATACATATTCTCAGCAGGGGTTTGAATGGGAATGAGCCAGTGTGAAGCCCTGCTTAAGCAAGAGAATGAGATTATTTGATTTGCATTTTATGAAGAACTTAAGGAAGAAACAAAGAGGCCAGGAGCACTCTCAGCAGGTTTATGTTTATGCATTTAACAGATGATATGATGGTCAACTAAACTAGGTAGAGGGAGCCCTGGTGGCCCAGTGGTTATATACTCAGCTGCTAATCTAAATGGCAGTGATGCAAAGCCACCTAGCAGTTCCAGAGAAGAAATGGCCTAGGGATTTGTTAAAGATTACACAGTCTAGGAAACGTATGAGGGCACTTTTTACTCTGTTCCAGAGGGTCACTGTATGTCCTAGTCAAGTCAATGGCAGACAGCAGCAACCACAAACAGGGTGGAAATATTAGGAATCCCGTTCAAGTGCCCATCTGTCCTCTTCTCTTTCCTTCCTCCATTGGATTCTAATCCTAGAGGAGGAGCTCTGGTGGCGTAGTGGTACACACTGGGCTGTTCATGCCTGTTCAAAACCACCAGGCCCTCCCCGCCCTCCGGGGATGAGGCAGTTCTATCCTGTCCTGTAGGGTCGTTATGAGTCAGAATTGATTGGACAGTAGTGAGTATTAGTTAATTCCTAGAAGTGGAAATGCTGGCTCTAAGTGTGTGCACATTTTAAAGTATTGCTAAATAGTCTTTTTTTTTTTTTTTGCCATCTGCCCCTGCCCTTTTTTTTATTAGAAGTTTTTTTTTTTAATCGTTTTATTAGGGGCTCATACAACTCTTATCACAATCCATACATACATC